CAGGCTCGCCCCCGCCCCGCCCCGCCCCCTCCGCTGGCGCCCGGCGAGTCTGCGCACGCGCGGTTTGTGCGCGGCCGGGGTCTTCCTTCGAGCCTTCGTGACCGTGGAAGGGCCCCCGCCGTGACACGCAGTCTCTACCGGCCGGGATGTTCAGGTTTTCCGTGTCAGCCAAGTTGCAGCGGGAGCTCGAGATACCTGTCATTGTCCGCCCCGCGTGTTGACATGCAGACATTCTCAGAAGCCCGGATCCACGGACGTGGGGTGGGGGTGCTCGCGGTTGGTTACTGCGGTCTCGAAGCTCACCGGGCAGAGAACTGGCGGGAGCAGGCCTTGAGGCCCTCAGCGCGGGGCAGCCACTGTTGAGGAGAAGCCTCTCATGCTGACCCTTCTGCTGCCATCAAATGATGAATACTTACACTTTGTTCACTGACTACATTTGGAGGCGCTTTGAGTTTGAGGAAAGCCTCCATGTACTGGCTGCGCATGTGTAGCAGGAAACAGCTAACATAAAGCTAGAATGAAGCCGACCTTTTACCTCAAGGAATGGAAGCCTATCCCTTGTAACATTGTTCTAAAGCTAAGACAATTTCAGTTTGTTAACCTGTTTAAAAAGGGATAGAGAGAGGAGAAATGATGGGCACACTTTTCCAGGAACGAGTGTCGTGAACAAGTGGACCGATTTCCTGCTGCCAGATTTAAGAAATTTGCCACAGAAGATGAAGCCTGGGCCTTTGTCAGAAACTCTGCAAGCCCTGGTGGTTCAGAAGGTACTCTCCTGTCATCTCTGTGGATCTTAACCCATTCCAAGCCTTTTCTGCCCCAGATGTCATCGTCAGCGGACGTTGGTGTGACCCCATCCCTTTTCCTGAGTTAAGGGTAGTCAGTAGCAGTGGTAGAAACACTAAGGCTCAGATCTGTTTTGTGTTTAGAAGTGCCAGAGTTCTCAGTAGAGCCTAATTTCCTTCACTCTTCTTTGTAGTACTGGCTTTGAACTTAGTCTCATGCTTTTTTAGGCAGATGCTCTACTGCTGAACCACATTCCCGGCCTGTTTTTGCCTTGATTATTTTTGTGGTATGTTCCTGTTTCCTGCCTGGGCACATGCCTAGAACATGACCCTTCTATATTTTGCTTCCTGCTGCAGCTGATTTCACACTGTATCCCTCTACCCCTTTTTTTGTGCTGGTACTGGGGCTTGAACTTGGGGCCTTATGCTCTTGTTTACCTTTTTCTGCACACAGAACTTAACAGAACTCTTGGCTCTCAATTGAGCATTTCATGTTGTTTCTGGCTCATGATTAGACTCTTACTTTTTTTTAGACCAGAAAAATACACGTGAACATGAGCCACAGGTGGAGGCCAGCAAGCGACTTCGGGAACCTCTGGATGAAGATGAAAGTGTAGAGCCATGTGCAAAGCATAAAAGACAGAGCTCAGAAGTGACACCTGTCATTAGCAAAGACACATTTTCTTATATGGGTATGTCGTGAGCCTTAAAATTTTAATATGACATTATGAAAATGTCAATAGAAGTATTATTACGAATTTTCAAATGGGAGTAATTTGAGCTGTTCTTTGTCCTCATTCTTTTCTGTAATGGTTATTTAGATAACCCTAATATCACTTTTATAGTTGATAAAGTAGTACAGAATTACTAACTTGTCTGATGTTCTTTGGAAATTGAATGTGTATGTATATGTAGATGTTTCACAAGCGAAAAGTACTGTATCTTTTTTTTTAATTTACTAGTTGCTTTGGTGGGGAGCAGTCATGGGGCTTGAACTCAGAGCCTTGAGCTCTCTCTCAGCATTTTCTTTGCTTGTTCATGAGGCTTGAACTCAGGGCTTGAGCACCATCCCTGAGCTCTTTTGCTCAAGGCTAGTGATATACTACTTTGAGCCAAACCTCCACTTCTGGTTTTTGAGTGGTTAATTGGAGATAAGAGTTTCATAGGAAGCCGGGTGCTGGTGGCTCACGCCTGTAATCCTAGCTACTCAGGATGCTGAGATCTGGATCATGGTTCAAAGCCAGTCCAGGCAGGAAAGTCCTTGAAACTCTTATCTCCAATAAACCACCAGAAAACCGGAAGTGGAGCTCAAGTGGCAGAGCACTAGCCTTGAGCTGAAAAGCAGAGTGACAGCGCCCAGGCCCAGAGTTCAAGTCCCATGACCAACCAAAACAAAAAGAGTGGCATGGGGACTTTTCAGCTCCAGCTGGCTTTGGACTGTGACCCTCAGATCTCTCAATCTCCTGAGTAGCTAGATTATAGGCATGAGCCACCAGCACCTGGCGTCCTTAGCTTTTTTGATCAAGACTGGCACATACCTCTTGAACCATAATCCACTTCTGGCTTTCCAATTCCGGACATGACCCATCTGTGTCCAGCTTTCTGCCCTCCTTTTTATTTTGTGCTGGCTATTCTGCTTCCTTTATGCCTGGACTGGGATCCACCTGTAGTTTGGATAACATGCATGTGCCACCATGCCCAGCTTCTCTGCTGTGATGGAATCTCGAGAACTTTTCTGGACTGGCCTGAGACCATGATCCTCAGACCCAGCCTCCTGTGCAGTGGGAATTACAGGTGTGAATCATCATGCCCAGATGTCTTGGGGAGGAGGGGACTTACCAGCAGGGATGGAAGGAACCGTGGCTTAATGGAGTGATGAGCTGTTCCCAGTGCGCTGACCACCACGTGCAGCACACGGCCCCTCACTGAGCGCCCCGCTGTAGTGCAGCCCTTCCCCTTCATCATAGGGTCCTGCTGAGCCTCTGTCCAGCTCACCACTGTCCTCTGGACAACGCTGCATGCACGTGTGGCCTTGCCTGCACTTCTGCCCTTAAGGTAGTGTCTGGCCTCTCGGGCCTGCGAGCAGCCCTTTTCCACCTTGCCTGGGGTGGCCTTGGCGTGCTAATTAGTGCATCTGTTGGAGAGAAGGAAGTGCAGGAGCCACATGGCAGCAGAGCAACTGTGCTGGAAAAATGAGAGCAGTGTTTGTCAGAGGACCGGCCCTGGGTGGGAGTCATCATGATGACACTGCTTTCTCTGGAAGGGCAGTGTGCTGAGAGCCAAGGCCCCACACAGAGGGGCAGCATCGCGGTCCACTGACTCCTGGTGTGGAATGTAGCGGTATTTCTTGCCGTTGAGTTCTCTTGCTTTGCACAGTGACCAGCCTGGCAGTGGACAGCAGAAAGGGCTTGTGTCCTGTGTCAAATTCCACATGCTTTCCTGTCAGAGTGGCCCTCTCTCTGCAGCTATGGTGTAGAATTGCTCACAGCCTTAGCAGGGGGCTAGGGTGGTGAGCGCGGGTTCTAGCGTGGCCTATCCAGCATCTCTCATTGCTCTTCGCCCAGGAGATTATGTCGTTGTCTACACTGATGGCTGTTGTTCCAGTAATGGGCGCAGGAGAGCGCGGGCAGGAATTGGCGTTTACTGGGGACCCGGCCATCCTTTGTAAGTAAGCAAAGCTGAATTATTGAGGCATCAAGTTTAACCAAGTCACACTCTGTAACACTTGTGAGAAGATGAGGTGGAATCTGCCCACTGGTTGATGATTTGGGAATCTGAAAGGTAACGAGCCTTGGCATGGGCAGTGGGAGAGCAGCCTGACGTGGGTAGCACTAAACTGCTTTTTCCTCCAGTGTCAGGTGCTCAACCCCAGCATTGGTCCCTGACCCTAACCCCTAGGAGTCTCCTTCCCACTGATGAGTCTTTTTTTTTTTTTTGGTCAGTCGTGGGGCTTGAACTCTGGGCCTGGGCGCTGTCCCTCTGCTCTTCAGCTCAAGGCGAGTGCTCTACTGCTTGAGCCACAGCGCCACTTCTGGTTTTCTAGTGGTTTATTGGAGATAAGAGCCTCATGGACTTTCCTGCCCAGGCTGGCTTTGAACTGTGATCCTCAGATCTCAGCCTCCTGAGATGGACATGAGCCACTGGCACCCGGCTCCACTGACGAGTCTTTATACCAGATGGCCTCACTGCCTCCAGCTCAGGACTCACATTCACTGGGAGCCGACTCTAGCGGGGTGGCAAGTTCAAAGCCAGCCTGGGGTATATAGTTGTGCCTCATAAAAAGAAAACTTGACCTCTGCCTTCTAGTGTAGTGTTCTTCCTGTCTCAGAATATGGTGTTTAACAAAGTCTTAGTGTTCTTGGTTGGACTTTAAACCGCTATGTGTTTACATAGCTTTTATGTTTATAATAAAAAGCATACATGAGTAGTTGTCACCTATTGAGTAGAATCACTTTGGAATCTACCTTTTCCTTTTGTTTTCTTTTGCCAGTCCTGGGCTTGAACTCTGGGCCAGGTGCTGTCCCTTAGCTCTTCAGCTCAAGGCTAGTGCTCTACCACTTGAGCCACAGCACCACTTCTGGCTTTTTCTGCTTATGTAGTGCTGAGGAATCGAACCCAGGGTCTCATGAATATAAGGCAAGCACTCTACCATTGAGCCACCTTCCCAACCCCCCCTTGTTTTATACTGTTTTCAAACAGAAATGTTGGCATTCGACTTCCTGGACGACAGACAAACCAAAGAGCAGAGATCCATGTAAGTTTCTGGTACTGTGGGTGGCACACTCAACATGACCATGTGTGGCCACAGCTACAGCTGTGTGGTTAGCATCCTTAGTGTTCTTTGAGTAAGCATAGAACCTTTATATTCTCTTATCTTTGTATCTGTGTAGAGGACATACTCAAGTCCAAAGACATGTTGGCATTAGTAACAAAACTAGGAATTTTCTTTTTTTGGGTCCGGTTGTGGGTTCTGAACTCTGGGCCTGGGCGCTATCCCTCAGCTTTTCAGCTCAAGGCTAGCGCTCTACCACTTGAGCCACAGTGCCACTTCTGGCTTTTTTCTTCTTGTTTATATGGTGCTGAGGAATCGAACCCAGGGCCTCAGGCATGCAAGGCAAGTGCTCTACCATTGAGCCACCTTCCCAGCCTGAGTGAGGAATTTTCTAAAAAGGTTGTGTAAACTGAGCGTGGGCAGGTGCTGATTGAGTACATGCTTAGCCTAGAGTCATCATTGTGGTTCCAGGGAAAGGAGAGATGTTCTTTTTTTTTTTGGGGGGGGGGATCCGGTCATGAGGCCTGAACTCTGGGCCTGGGCGCTGTCCCTCAGCTCTTCAGCTCAAGGCTAGCGCTCTACCACTTGAGCCACAGTGCCACTTCCGGCTTTTTTCTTTTTTGCTTATGTTATGCTGAGGAATCGAACCCAGGGCTTCATGCATGCAAGGCAAGTGTTCTACCACTGAGCCACCTTCCCAGCCCAGGAGAGCTGCTTTGGGTGGGAGGTCAGTCAGTCCCAGCTGGGTAACAAGTTCTCACGGTAAACTTGTATTTCCAAGGCGGCCTGCAAAGCCATCGAGCAAGCCAAAGCCCAGAACATCAGCAGATTGGCTCTGTATACGGACAGCATGTTCACCATAAATGGTGAGCCTTCCGGCTTCTCTGGCCGTTTCTGGTTACTGGGAGAAACAGGCTGTCTCCCTGTGGCAGGGTTGTGTTGGAGGAGGGACAGGAGAGGCTGAGCAGCACTGAGTCCCACCCAGCCCTGCTGTCACAGGCACGTGGCTGGGCTGTGGTGGTACCTGGAACTGTGTGTGCGTTTCTTGGGTCAGATCACGGGAACTGGCATTTTTGGGGATGTGTGCCTAGAAGTTTGTGGGATGGTTAAGAAGCCAGGGAAGAGTCTCTGGCTGGGAGCTGTGGGTTGACACTGTTAAAGCAAGGGAAGAAACAGGCATTACGGGCATGTGCCAAGTCCTCAGCAAGTAAGGCCAGTTGGAGACGTTCAGTCCAGACTGGTAGCTCAGCAGAGGAGCACTGCCAGGGAAGAGGCTTCAGGGCCTCAGTGGATGCAGTGAGCACCGCTCTCCCAGGGATAACGAACTGGGTTCAAGGCTGGAAGAAGAACGGGTGGAGGACAAGTGCGGGCAAGGACGTGATCAACAAGGAGGACTTCGTGGCTCTGGAGCAGCTCACCCGGGACATGGACATCCAGTGGGTGAGTGTGCGTGGGTGTGGACGTCCAGTGGGTGAGTGTGCATGGGTGTGGAGTCCAGTGGGTGGGTGTGCTGTGGGTGTGGACGTCCAGTGGGTGAGTGCGCTCTTGTCCTGGATGTCCAGTGGGCAGGTGCACCATGCATGTGGAAATCCAGTGGGTGGGTGCACTGTGGGTGTGGATGTCCAGTGGGTGGGCATGCTGTGGGTGTGGACGTCCAGTGGGTGGGCACGCTGTGGGTATGGACGTCCATTGGGTGGGCATGCTGTGGGTGTGGATGTCCAGTGGGTGGGCATGCTGTGGGTGTGGACATCCAGTGGGCGGGTTCCCTGTGGGTGTGAATGTCCAGTGAGTGGATGTGCCGTGGATGTGCATATGTGGATGTCCAGTGCCTGTGTGGACATCCAGTGGGTACATCATGTGCTGTGCTGCGGAGGTACAGTGTGTGCATGTGTCTGCTTGCTAGGCCAATAAGTTCAAACCTCAGTAGCATTGGGGTCCTACCTACTCAGGAGGCTGATGCAGGAGGATTGAAGCCAGTCTGGGCAACATAGCAAGACCCAGTCTTTAAAAGAACAGACCAGACGCTAGTGGCACATTGGTAATCCTTGCAGTTTGGAAGGCTGAGATTAGGTTGATATTCGTTCAAGGCCAGCCTGGGCAGGATTACTTCTCAATAGTTGGGTACTATGGCACACACCTGTCATCCCAGCTGCAAGGGAGATTGAGATTGGGAGGATTGAGGTTCTGGGCCAGCATGGCAGAAAAGTCTGCAGGACTCCATTTTAACAGAAAGAAGCTGGGTCTGTTGATGCATGCAAGCTCTCCCAGGTACAGACTGTGTGTCTGCTGTCCTTTGTTGCTTATATAAAAGTGAGGAATACAAGGAAAATGTTTTATCTGTTTTTTTTTTTTTTTTTGGTCCGGTTGTGTGGCCTGAGCTCTGTCCCTCAGCCCTTCAGCTCAAGGCTAGTGCTCTACCACTTGAGCCACAGCACCACTTCCGGCTTTTTTCTTTTTGCTTATGTGGTGCTGAGGAATTGAACCCAGGGCCTCAGGCATGCAAGGCAAGCACTCTACCACTGAGCCAACTTCCCAGCCCCTGTTTTATCTTAACAGATGCACGTTCCTGGTCATTCGGGATTTGTGGGTAATGAGGAAGCTGACCGATTGGCAAGAGAAGGAGCAAAGCAGTGTGCAGACTGAGCTCTGGGAGCCTGGGCCAGTGCTGCTCCTTCCGCTTGCTGGCCTTCACCGAGCCTACCAGTGCCGCCATGAGCAGCACACAGGGCGCTCCCGCTGTGGGCGTGGTACGGTGTGACCGGACGCAGGATGACAGACATGATATGTGACCTGGTGTGACACATGTGGCAGTTCCCTGAGACTTCAGCTTTACAAAGACTGGACTTGATGCTCTTCTGGTTTATCTGTTGCTATCTGGCCCCAAATAGTTGGGCTTAGGTTTTACTAAGGAATCAATAAAACGTGGTTTAAAAGATGCAGGCAGCAGGTCTAGAAGTATTCTGAGAGTTTTCATTTACCTTTCAGTTTGAGGTTCCAGCCTCCTGACAAAACGTTAGCAGTGGTGCGAGACCTGTAATTCCAGACTCAGAAAGTTGAGGCAGTAAGGACCACAAGTCCCATGCTAGCTGGGGCTTCCTGGCTCTAAAGAAACAAAAATAGCTGGCCTGTGTCCCCCCATCCATCCCTCCCCCCCTGTTCCTCAACTCTGTTTAATACAAGTATATACAAACAACACAAAGCACTGGATGAGCGCTGGTCTGGTTTGTCTTTAGTTGACTTCAGGCTGTGGGAGCTTGAGTTGAGCCTGGGTGGGTTCTGGGTTGGGCTAGGAGGACACCCCCAATCCAGGGCACCCCTGAGCCACCGGAGAGGAGCCAGGGGCGCCCGGGGGCTAGTGCAGGGCACCCTGCCGGAGCCCCGTGAATGGGAACACGCCCCTCCCCCCCAAACCTGGGGCAGCACCCATTGCCCACACCGTACCCCACACCGTACCCCACACCGTACGGGGACCTCATCTGCTGCCCGCGGCTGCCCAGGCCTGCACCCCGAGTCTGCAGGCAGGGTAGAACCTGCAGGAGGAGGAACGAAGCCGCAGGGCCCAGGAGTGAGGGGGAGACGCTGGCCCCAGGCTGATGGCCGGCCCAGCCGGAGTACCCAGCGGCTCCCCGACCCTCGCCGGGCACCCTTTCGGTGAGAGCCGGGCCTTTCCAGAAACGTCTAGGGCCTCAGACGTGGCTTCCCACCGTTGTAAAACGGGAGTGGGGCTGTGACTTGGGGAGAAATCTGTTTCTCCCCTCACCCAGGTGAGGGGGTGAGGTTTTGTGCTGGGGGCTGAGGGGGTGGGGGGCAGCAGCCCCCCTCAGCACGGGCCGCCCGCCCCACCCGGCTC